CTTAGACCTGAACTCTTCTGGAATTTTCCTCTGCATATCTGGCACACCTGATGCTAGATAAAACCAACTTTTTTTTTTTTTTCGTAGAAGTAAGCAGCGTGGTTGGAGGTCAGAAGTTAGAGATGGTTGCCCTGAGCATAGCTGTGGTAGATTTTTGTGCCCACCTCCTTCCTGCCTGGTCTTGTCATATGCACAGACCTATCAAGACATATTTACTCTGTGTCCAGTTTCTTAGACATGTCAGGTGAATGCTTAGGAAATTTGATTCCAAAACCATTGGTAGTAGTAATTCAGTGTGTTGCCCTTCCAACGGAAGCTGAGTCCCGTGTCCTGTGGGGAGTTTAGTCCACCCCTGAGTTTTAATTAACAGTGTGACCTTGATGGTCCACCCCAATATCCACTGAATCTATGAACTGTTGGAGCATGTGAAGGGGGCGAACCTACAGATCCAAAGCGGCAGGATCTCCACGACACAGAACAACCACAGGCTATTCGAGAAGAGCCCAGTGAGAGCCCATTATTGGTGGTGTAGCAGAAGCCAGAGGCCTCGCGCCAGACCAGTGACTCCAGACAGTGAACACTTGCAAGTAAAGATGAATGGACTAAAGGTAAACTGTGTGACTCATGGGTCCACACCACAGCTTCCATGACAGGATTCTCCTACTTCTGTTTTGTTGTTTTGTTTTTTGTTTTTGTTTGGTTTGGTTTTTGGTTTTTCTTTTAAATTTGGTTTTGGTTTGGGTGGGAGGTTGCAAGGGCAGAGGGTGGACGAGAGGGGACAGGGAGATAAGTGGGATCGGAATGCATGATGTGCAGTCCACAAAGAGTCAATAAAAGTTAAAAACCACAACAGCACACAACAAACCGAGTCTGCCCTGGAACTTAGCACTTTCTCTGTGGGTTCTGTCTTCCTCGTCACTAGGAAGGGTTTTTGTTCTTCTAATCTTAACATTTTAGGGATCTTTAAGTCTACGACAGACCAGAGACAGAGAGAAATGTCGTCATGTGTCCCCCCAACCCCCCAATCCCCCCCCCCCCCCCCCCCCCCCCCCCCCCCGCAAGTGGCAGGAGTTCTTACATTGTCACTGTGGTTTGTTTTCATTGTTGATTGAGGCAGATTAAGTAGCTGAGGCTAGCCACAAACTCACTATGTAGCCTGGGCTGGCTAGCTTGGAGTCTGTAATCCCCTTGCCTCAGCCTCCTGAGAGCCTGTGTTATAGACACCACCTGCCAACTGTACTGGCACTCTTGATTATAAAGTTGCCATGCTGTTTGGACCCCAAGAAGCATTTCAAGTTGTATCTCAGACACTAGGACCAAGGCCGTGACGGACAATCATCGCTTACTGGTTCTGTTCCTTCTGAAGAGTGGAGATCTAACCCTATATTTGCTTTATGATCCGTTATGCCGCACTTTTTAAAAAGCCATTCCTGCCAGCCCTAGAGTTCTATTCTGTCTATTTACTGTGTGTGCGCACACGCATGTGTGAAAAGCAGGGTAAGTTGCTGGAGTCAGTTTTCTCCTTCTACCCGTACGGGGGGATGGAACTCAGGCTGTGGGACTTGGCAGCAATCACCTTCGCTGGCTAAGCCACGTCGAGGGCCCCATGTTTCACTTCTGTAACCCCTTTATAAACTTACTTTTACTTTCTCTTTTTGTCAGTCTTTGCACTGTGTTTCTGGGCCTACTTGGTGAAGCTTCAACAGTTGCCCATCTCCTTTCACTAAATTCCATAGGCATCTATTATTTCCTGTCTCTTTAGTTCATCTTCCTTTTTATAATTCAAATTTTAATTGATATATAATTACATCACTTCCTTTCCTAGTCTCTTTCCGACCTTCCCACCCCTCCCCCAACTCCCTCTTAAACGGATGGCTTCTTTTCGATGGTTATTGCTAGACACACACAGGCATAAATCTATAAATACAGCCTGCTGGGTTTGTTTAGCATGGCTTGTGTGTATATGGTTTCAGGGCTGACCGCTTGGTATTGGCTAACCAATCAGGGGGCTCATCCCTGGGAGAGGCTGATTCTCCCGTTCTCCGCTTGCTCATTCGCATGTCTGTTGATGTCATCACTGCTTGGGTCGCATTTAGGCATCTATGTTGAGGAATTATCCTGGACGAGTGTTCCTGTCATCTCCAGGAGACAATCTCACAGCAGCCTTCCTGGTCCTCCGGCTCCTAACAACCTTCAGCCCTCTCTTTCAAGATGTTCCCCGAGCTGTAGATGTAAGCTCATCTTCCTTATGCCATGGATTCTCTCTAGCTTCTTCCCACAGGTGTTACTGTAGTGAAATCTATTTCCTGGGCGTGTTTTAAAGTTGAGGAGGGATGTGATTGGCAAGGGCATCATGGCTAGGTGATTTTCTCCTAGGGGGAAAAAAATGTTTATTATAGGTTTTCCATCTTGAAATAAATTGCTTTTAAGAAAGATAAGTTAGAAAGCCTGGTGGAGCAGGAAGCGTGGGCTGCCAGCATTTTCAAGTTAGGAGTGGAGAGGCAAGTGTCCTCCGGTGGGTGGGGTGTGGATAGCACAGCGTGATCACATAGAGGAAGTGTCAGGAGGGGATGCGGCCTTTGTTCCTGGCTGGGTTCCTCGTCATCAGCCCCGGTGGCTTCTTGTGGCCCACTTGTGAGCATTAATAAAACTTGCAGTCTCTAAGCCTGCTTTGCAGGTTAGAAGAAAGGTCACCACCCTGGAGCTGGTGTGCTGAACGAGGACCAGAGCCCTCCACTTCCTCCTCTGGAGCCTAGAGGAGTCCTAAGAGGCTTAGAAAGCCATCCTTTGTGGGCTTAATGCTCGTTCCCAGAGGGTCTTCTATGTCTGTAGACTTTAGTCTGCCAGGGGCTCAGATCTCTGTGAGGCCATTTCCCACAGTTGGCTTGGGATACCTTAGGTCACCCGGCAGATGAAAAGAGAAATAATTATGCGAATTCCAGCACCAAGAATAAGCAGTGTGGCTGTGGGAGGCCTCCGTAGAAGAGGGGGCAGGAGGGCCTCCGCTCCCCTTTTGTGCTCAGTATGGCTGCAGCCATGGTCACGGCTAAATAGCTGTCTTTGAGGGAAGTCTTTTCTTCTAGCAGGAAAACAGGCGGGTCTGCTCTGAATTAGCCAGCTCACAAAGTCATGAAAGGGACTTACAGAAACAATGGCGCGCTGTACATTCCGTGAGATTTTAACAAGTTATACGAACCAGATAATGCCCAACGGGCTGGCGCTGCAGGTTTTTGCCTGAGTGTGCACATCCGCATAGCCCGTGTTGTCCCTGTGGGACCAGATCAAATGGGTGCCAGCGGCGAATGGGAAACAGCCCAGGCTCACTCTGGGCCAGTGTTCAACGTCGCCCACTCTGCCCCCAACGCATGCTCTGTTGCTATTCTTAGGAAGTTTAGTGTTACTACGGCTTAGAAAATTGTAGCAGCCGGGTAGGAAGACAGATGAATAGGCTAGAAAACAGTCCCTCATCCAGCAGAATCATATCCTTCAGGTTTACAGAAATATAGCACTTAAAAAAAAAAGTTAAAACTTATAACAAGAACATATGTCCATAGGAAAGTCTCTGTGTACATGCTTATATATGACGTTATTTGACATTATTCACCATTGACAAAAACTGAAAACAACCTGAATGTCTGCTTCAGTTGTGACCCATACAATGGCTCACTCTTCAGCTAGAGAAAGAAATGGACACACAAAGCCATTAGTGTACCGAAAGTGCCGTATGCTTCACAGAAAGGTAGTCTCAAAGGCTACCAGCAGGGCTGGAGAGATGGCTCAGTAATTAAGGGCATGCATAGCTTCTTAGAGGGGTTCTCTAGTCCCAGCACCCATGTTGGGTGGTCCATAACCACCTGTAACTCCAGCTTCCTTCAGAGGATGTGATACATGTGGTCCTCCTTGGGCGCCTGCGCTCACATGCACACACGCACAGACACATACATGTACATATTTTTCAAAAAGCAAACTTTTTTTCGTTTTTCAAAGTCTGCCAGCTGGAACTGCATCCGTAGTGACAGAAAACGGGTTCATGGTTGACAAGGGATGAGAGAAGGCATCTTTAAAAGGGAACTTTGGGGGAAATGTCAGGGGGGAAAAAGTCTTTGATTGTAGAAATAATCACCCAACTGGTCGTTTGTCAAAGCTCACAGAATTGTACTAAAAAGGGTGACACTCACTGAATGCAAATTAGACTTAATAAGCCTGGCTTTTGAACAGAAGGGAAGTGAAAATCCCTTTTAGCCTCTGGGGACTGCCACCTCGGGAGGAGGGGGAGTTTCCAGTGTGAGATGGGCTGACTCAGTAGGGACAGACCCCCCCACTCCCCACCCCCATCAGCAGGTGGAGACAGCCCTTAGAGATTCGTTTTCCCCATGGAGGCTCATTCAGCAGATGTTTTCTCAGCCTCTACCTCATAGTCACAATGCTAGTCAAGAGGGACCAGGTGAGGGGAAGTGACATGAAGTGTACTTACCTAAGAGAGTGGCAGGGCCAGGGCAAGGCCAGGTGTTGCCGGAGGCCTTTTAGAGGGGGAATGAGGAGCCATTTTATGAAGCGAGCCAACAGATCCTGGCAGGACTTGAGTGGAGCAGGTGAGGGAGAGGAAGCTGGGGGCAGGTCAAGTTCACGCCAGGCCTGGGATCTTGCCAGAGGCCAGGCAGGCAGCTTCTTGAGGAGGAAGCGAGTCCCACACAGAAACCTTGCTACCACCGTGAGAAATAGGGATAGGTTTAAAGCTAGGGGTGAGGACGCTCCCACGCAGGGCCAAATCTGGCCCTTCCCCTGGTTTTCATTGGCAAAACATGGACTTTACCATTGAAATGTCTTTATTTCTTAATTTAAAAAGAGTGTATAATCATTGAAAAGCCGAGACGTGTCCAGCAAAGCAAAGGGAGAAAGGATTCCCCCCTCGGTTTGGCCATTGAAACCTCTCCTGTCGCCCGTATTTGGGGTTTCCAGGCTTCTCTCCCGACCTGGTGAACACTGAACAGATCTCCAGGGTCTTGACCTGGGGGAAGTACACTCTAAAGATCCAGAATCATGACTGACTGCAAGTACTTCATAACCAATAAGAAGGGAGAAATCTTCGAGTTAAAAGCTGAACTCAACAGTGAAAAGAAAGAAAAGAGGAAGGAGGCTGTGAAGAAGGCTGCCATGACCGTGGGGAAGGATGTCAGCGCTCTCTTCCTGGATGTGGTGAACTGTATGCAGACTGACAACCTGGAACTAAAGAAGCTTGTGTACCTCTATCTGATGAACTATGCCAAGAGTCTGCCAGACATGGCCATCAAGGCTGTCAACAGCTTTGTGAAGGATTGTGAGGATCCTAATCCTTTGATTCGAGCTTTGGCAGTTAGAACCATGGGGTGCATCCGGGTGGACAAGATTACAGAATATCTCTGTGAACCCCTCTGCAAGTGCTTGAAGGATGAAGACCCCTATGTTCGGAAAACGGCAGCAGTGTGTGTGGCAAAACTCCATGATATCAATGCCCAGATGGTGGAAGATCAGGGATTTCTGGATTCTCTACGGGATCTCATAGCAGATTCAAATCCAATGGTGGTGGCTAATACTGTAGCAGCATTGTCTGAGATCAGTGAATCTCACCCAAATAGCAATTTACTTGATCTGAACCATCAGAATATCAATAAGCTGATCACAGTCCTGAATGAGTGCACAGAATGGGACCAGATTTTCATCCTGGACTGCCTGTCTAATTACAACCCTAAAGATGACCGAGAAGCTCAGAGCATCTGTGAGCGAGCATCCCATGCCAACTCTGCAGTGGTGCTTTCAGCAGTGAAAGTTCTAATGAAGTTCTTAGAACTGTTCCCCAAGGACTCTGACTACTACAATATGCTGCTGAAGAAGTTAGCGCCTCCACTGGTCACTCTGCTATCTGGGGAGCCAGAAGTGCAGTATGTCGCCCTGAGGAACATCAATCTAATTGTCCAGAAAAGGCCTGAAATCTTGAAGCAGGAAATCAAAGTCTTCTTTGTGAAGTACAATGATCCTATCTATGTTAAACTAGAAAAATTGGACATCATGATTCGTTTTGCATCCCAAGCCAACATTGCTCAGGTCCTGTCAGAGCTAAAGGAATATGCCACTGAGGTCGACGTGGACTTTGTTCACAAAGCCGTGAGGGCCATTGGCCGGTGTGCCATCAAAGTGGAGCAATCAGCAGAACGCTGTGTAAGCACATTGCTTGATCTAATCCAGATCAAAGTAAATTATGTGGTCCAAGAGGCAATATGTTGTCATCAGGGACATACCCCAACAAGTATGAAAGTATCATTGCCACTCTCTGTGAGAACTTGGACTCCCTGGATGAGCCCGATGCTCAAGCAGCTGTGATTTGGATTGTAGGAGAATATGCTGAAAGACTCGATAATGCGGATGAATTACTAGAGAGCTTCCTGGAGGGCTTTCACGATGAAAGTACCCAGGTGCAGCTCACACTGCTTACCGCCATAGTGAAGCTGTTTCTCAAGAAGCCATCAGAAACACAGGAGCTGGTCCAACAGGTCTTGAGCTTGGCCACACAGGATTCTGATAACCCTGACCTTCAAGATCGGGGTTATATTTATTGGCGCCTTCTTTCAACTGACCCTGTGACAGCCAAAGAAGTAGTGTTGTCTGAGAAGCCGTTGATCTCTGAAGAGACAGACCTCATTGAGCCTACCCTCCTGGATGAGCTCATCTGCCACATTGGTTCTTTGGCCTCCATGTACCATAAACCTCCAAATGCTTTTGTGGAAGGGAGTCATGGGATTCATCGCAAACACCTGCCAATCCATCATGGGAGCACTGGTGCAGGTCATAGTCCTGTGGGCACCACCACTGCAACCAACCTGGAGCAGCCTCAGGTTATCCCCTCTCAAGGGGACCTTCTGGGGGATCTCTTAAATCTTGACCTGGGTCCCTCAGTCAGTGTGCCGCAAGTGTCCTCTATGCAGATGGGAGCTGTGGATCTTTTGGGAGGAGGACTGGATAGCCTGCTTGGCAGTGTCCTTGGCGGGGGCATTGGAGGAAGTCCGGCAGTAGGACAGTCCCTCATCCCATTATCGATGCCCGCAACCTTCACTCCTTCACCTACTCCTGCTGTGCTCAGCAGCGGTTTGAACGACCTGTTTGAGCTTTCCACGGGGATAGGCATGGCACCTGGCGGATATGTGACTCCTAAGGCGGTCTGGCTACCTGCAGTAAAGGCTAAAGGCTTGGAGATCTCAGGCACGTTCACTCACCGCCAAGGGCACATCTATATGGAAATGAACTTCACCAACAAAGCTCTGCAGCACATGACAGACGTTGCCATCCAGTTCAACAAGAATAGTTTTGGTGTCATCCCAAGCACTCCCTGGGCCATCCACACTCCACTGATGCCAAACCAGAACATTGATGTCTCTCTGCCTCTCAACACCTTGGGCCCAGTCATGAAGGTGGAACCTCTGAACAACTTGCAGGTGGCTGTTAAAAACAGTATTGATGTCTTCTACTTCAGTTGCCTCATCCCACTCAATGTGCTTTTTGTAGAAGATGGCAAAATGGAGCGCCAGGTCTTCCTTGCGACTTGGAAGGATATTCCCAATGAAAATGAACTTCAGTTTCAGATTAAGGAATGCCATTTAAATGCTGACACAGTTTCCAGCAAGCTGCAAAACAACAATGTTTACACGATCGCCAAGAGGAATGTGGAGGGGCAAGACATGCTGTACCAGTCCCTGAAGCTCACTAATGGCATTTGGATTTTGGCCGAGCTACGGATCCAGCCAGGAAACCCCAATTATACGCTGTCGCTGAAGTGTAGAGCCCCTGGAGTCTCTCAGTACATCTATCAGGTCTACGACAGCATTTTGAAAAACTAATAAACGGCCACCCTGTAATCAGTGCAAGCCAAGAACTCGTAACTAAAGGAAGTCGTACTGCTGTGTAGAGCCTGAACACTGCGCCACCCACCCCGGTAGTGACCAGTCACCCTGTGCTGACATTGGCATTCACCCCATTGGATAGGTTAGCTTCCTGTGACCACTGCTTCCATCATTCCCCACCTCTGCCACTGCCCTCAGACCTTCCTCGTGAGCTTCTCCATGCTGTGCCAATGGCTAGCTTTTTCTACACCCTCTTTTGAGTGTAGTTTGATATTTTGTAATCAGAAGCTCATTTCACAAGCAGAAAAAGGCAACAAGTTAATTAAAGCAAGGAAAAGTGTCACTGAAACATAAACTGCACCTTATTGTTTTATATTTTTGTACAGATGAGAAATTGAGGTAGAACAGTGAGTAGGAAGGGTTAAGTGACATCATCAAACACAGTTTTAGGGGAGATACAGGTATGGCCCCTAGCCCCTTCTGGGGCAACCCTGCTCCTGGTCATTTGCGTTTTCACTTTTCCCCCTCTATCCAAAGTCTTTCCTTGGCCAGGCCTTCAGGCTCCTTTATGTCCCATGCTGTCTCGTTTGGTGACTCTGTGCTTGACAGTAGTGGTCTTCATTGGTCTTCATGTTTCGGAGTGCAGGACACTGGGCCTGTAGGCACAAAGCTGAGAGGTGGTAGAGCTCTGTTCCTTTGCACTGCACTACCCCAGTAATCCCACTGACTGAGGAAGCTGAGGACAGACGTTAAGAACCCCAGTGCCCTCCCTAGCCTTCTTCCCTCTGTTCCTCAGGGCCAATTCAGATCTAAAGTCAGAGTTTTAGAGTTAAAATAGACTTTAATGGCTTATCCAACTTTGTTTTTCTACAAAGAAAGGTAACAGGCAAAAAGTTGATTATTGCTGAAGCCTCTTGGCTCCTGAGTAGCAGAGCTGAGGCTGGTTCCCTGAAACTCCACCAGCTTCCCCGTATGGCTGGCCCATTGTTCTCATCCTTGAAGCCCTGCCTCTCCTGTGCCCGCCTTGGCTCTTTGCATACTCCATGCTGAGTTTGGTGCTCCCCCATTCATTGGTGTCAGGTGGCCGTTGGCATCTTCTCAGTTACCTGAATGTACATGCAGGTAACAGAGTGAAAGGGAGCTAACCTTTGCCGGGCTCTCTTAGAGCCACATTCTGGAGGCCAGCCAGGGAGGGTAGAGATGTTGCCAGTTCTCCTTGTCGTCGTCGTGTCCCCCCGCCCCTCTGATCTGCTCTTCATCCATGGTACTCAAGCTCCAAAGCAAAGTAAGATCATCCCAGAAGTCCAGGTAGTTCTTGTCATCTCTCAAAGGGCTGGGGATTGGTGTGATTCATCAAAGAAAGCCTCATACCCACTCCCCTGCTCAGTACTGTTGACACTATTTGAGGTGGTACAGCCTGGTTCCTGGCATTCAGGCTCCATTCAGAGTTCCCTGCTCAAGTCAGAAGCATGCCAGTATCCAGAGACCTCATGCTGGACTCAACCCTGCCCACTGGAGCCAGAGGAGAGGTTGTGGAGAATCAGAGCAGAGAACAACTTCCTTCAGCCGTGTGTCTGGAGTGATCCTGTTTCCTCCCAGTTGCAAAGCTTCTCAAGTTCCATAAGCCTCGAGAATCTTTAAGAGGATTGCTGGCTGGTGGGAGGGAAATACATCCCTCCCTCACCATGTGGGGAATAGGAAGTACTGCAGGGTTGTGTGGGAGGCAGGTAGGTTGGTGATACGTTGGGTGGAAAAGCAAGTTGACAAAATCCCCTTGTTGAGACTCATTCATGGAGTCAGTTGGGGATGAGTCGTGTAAGGGGTTCACACTACAAACACAGTTTTCTCCTCTCCAAGCAAACTGTAGTTCCCCAAAGAAGAGTATGTGTCAGGGCAAGCAGAGCGAATAATTGATGCCAGAATGTGTCTACCCCTGAAACTGAGGCCTCTCAGCCTCGCCAGTGATGGGTAACAGCTGCTGTTCTCTGCTGGCCTAACTGAGCCGATCCGTGATGTTCGACCCCATGGGGAAGGCACCTCTCATTTCACCCCAGGCAGTTGCGGGGGGTGGGGGGGATGCTGCTTCACATGAAGGGGCTCTCCAGAAGAGACAGTCTGTTGTCTCTGCCACAGCTTCCTTTCAGGCCCCTTTCAAACTTGACCAGATTGGGAGAAAGGGGGTCAGGTTCCTCTTTGTCCGCTCTCCTTGGTCTAAGTGTGTCTCGGATGCACGCTGGAGTATAGAGTATAGGGTAGGAGAGCGAACGTGCCAGAGCTCTTTCGGGTCAGATTCCCTGAGTGTGTCCTCAGCCAAGCCTGGTCCATGAGTCTGTGTTGAGAAGCTTGAGACAATGGAGCCAAGTGTGAGGGTAAAGATTGCCCTAAGAATGCTTATTCTTCTGTTCTTGTTGGGATTTGTTTGTGTGTGGGGGGGGGTTGGGGAGAAACTTTACCTTGTGTATTCATCAATAAACTCATTTACACACACACACACACACACACACACACACACACACACACACACGAAGAGCGTATAAAAATTATACAAAATTCACATGCTAGTGTATATTTATAAACTTGTATGGGGGCACAGCCAGGCCTGTATTACGAATTACCTGCTTTTGTGCTGTCATGGTGTGGCAGCAGAGCCTAGGAGAACCCTTGACGGGAAGGTTTGCTGACGCCCCTTTCCCCCTCCACCATAGATGGCTTATTTGCCCTCCCTCCCTCTTTCTTCTCTCTGATGTCTTGCAGGCCTCCAACAGAAGGTTCTGTCAGCTCACGCTGACATTGCCATTGTGTAACTTTGTATCACCGACATCACCCTTATCTTGCCTTAGGACCCAGCTGTGAGTCCTTGGGCAAGGCCTGTGATCTCACACCATCACAAATGCAATACCATTGCAACACCACGCGGCTTTTGGATGCGTCTGGAGGGGTAGACATACTGGCTTCGAGCGGCATCACTTTGCTGATCTGGGCAGCTCCGTCGCGATAAAGAGATGTGTGGGGACATATCCTGGTGTTTGAAGCCTGGCGGCTCGGACTGGGACTCGTCCGGATGACTCCATAGGTCAGCCCCAGAGTCCGGTTTGACCAGTGAGTAGAATAAAGCAAACGTGGATTCCCTGGAAATTTATATTTCATGTTATAAGCTTCAGCCTTGACTAAGACGCAGCCATCCTGGGCGTAGGGAGGCTTTTCTCAGACTGCCTAGAGCAGTGGTTCTCAACCTTCCTAACGCTGCGACCCTTTAGTACAGTTCCTCATGTTGTGGTGATCCCCCCAACCATAAAATTATTTCGTGCTTCATATCTGTAATTTTGCTACTGTTATGAATCATAATGTAAATATCTGTATTTTCCTATGGTCTTAGGTGACCCCTGTGACAGGGTCACTCAACACATGGGGTCGTGACCCACAGGTTGAGAACTGCTGATGTAGACCTTGTGAAAGAGAAGTCACTAGAAAACCGATGAGCAAACGTGAATCAGAAATGTGGCTTCTTTTAGAATCAGCTCCATGGTTGGACCTAAAATCCTAGGGAGCCTGTTCGCTTCTAACCTCATGTCCTACCAAGACCCATCTAAACTCCGCCATCCGACCTTGCCACTGCCCCTGGGACTACACACCTTTCCCTTGGCCTAGAAGGTTCTGAGGCAGGACAGCTGAGTGCCTTGAAGCCGATAGTATGATTTCATTGTCAGCTAAACTGTGTCCACTGATAATATATATTGAAAATGTAACTTCTAGTATCTGGGCATATGACCTTATTTACAAATAAAGTTCTGCAGATATAAGCAAAAAAAAAAAAAAAAGATGGTCTCTTTTTTTCAGATCAAGTGACCAAATTAAGATGACATTGTACAGGCTGGAGAGATGGCTCAGTCAGAAAAGCGCTTGCTACCCAGGTGTGAGAATCCGAGTTGGGTCCTTAGCTGCTGCTTCAAAAGCTGGGTACTGCAGTATGTCTGTAATCTTAGCCTTGGGGAAGCGGAGACAGGAGGATCGCTGGAGCTCCCTGGCCAGCCAGCCTAACCAAATCAGTGAGCTCCAGGTTCAGTGAGAATCCCTGTCTCAAAAACACAGTGGAGGGCTGGAGAGATGGCTCAGCGGTTAAGAGCACTGGCTGCTCTTCCAGAGGTCCTGAGTTCAATTCCCAGCAACCACATGGTGGCTCACAACCATCTGTAATGAGATCTGATGCCGTCTCCTGACATGCAGGCATACCTGCAGGGAGAACACTGTATACATAATAAATAAATAAATCTTTAAAACACACACACATACAATGGAATGCTTCCCTGGTAGGGATGAACCATGATTGAGAAGATGGTTTCCTCCTCCATTTTACTTAGGATTTACTGACTGCTGTGACCAAAAGACCAAAAGAATACTTTTTTTTTTTTTTAAAGCAGGATTTTGCTGTGTACTCAAGGCTGGCTTTAAATTTAGTACGTAGCTGAGGCTAGCCTCAGACTTGCAGAGATCTTTGCCCTTCAGCTCCTGAGTGCTGGAATTACAAGCATCTACCATCACACCCAGCTTTATTCTAAAGCCACAGTTTGTGCTTACCGGTCAGGGCGATGTTGGCAAACAGATACACATGCCACACTGGTGTATCATCAGCACCGTTTCTTGGACACTTACTGGAAATCCTCAGGAGCCAGGTTTCCTTGACAGTCAGTGGAGGAATCCAAGATTTATATGAGTTCATACATGGAAAGTTCTTAGTAGAGAACCTGGGGTGTGATTGGTACCCTGTAAACACATGGTAGCAGCCGCTGTTCCTGCTCCCTGTGCACAGGGCTCACCCCTGACTTCATGCCTTAGACCTCCCCCAACTCCTGAAAGCAACCATAAGGTCACTTTGGGATCACCCTCTGGGACTCATTCTTCAATGTTGTGCACTTTAGACAACTCAGCTCTGAGGCCAGGGACTCTGCTTGTCATCTTAATAAACAGCTGGCGCCTGAGTGACATGCAGCTGAAGACAGGGGGGCGTCGTCTACATGAAGACCGAAACAGGGTCTTCCCAGGTAGCCCGAGGCTACCTGAATCCCTCATCCTTCTGCCTCAGTTTCTCACATGCTGGGATTATAGGTGCGTACCCCTAATCCCAACATTCTGAAGATCTGTATGTTTCTCAATGCAAGTACAGCTTACATCTGTAAGAAATTTTCAGAATTTCGTCGGTGTGTCTGTTTCAAGACCTTTGAGAGGTTCCTAAATGTAACCTTGGTCTGTCTTGTAAACCTGCTGTACAAGATGGGAACTGGAGTCACTTCCTATTTCCCTAATTTCTCACATATTTAGGAAGAGATGTCCTAAGTTTTTAGAGATGGAGTTCTGGCA